CCTATATAAGGCGTGGATTTTTTAAAGAATATTTTTTCGAGGCCTATATAAGGCGTGGATTTTTTAAAGAATATTTTTTCGAGGCCTATATAAGGCGTGGATTTGTAAAAGAATATTTTTTCGAGGCATATATAAGGCGTGGATTTTTAAAAGAATACTTTTTCGAGGCCTATATAAGGCGTGGATTTTTAAAAGAATATTTTTTCGAGGCCTATATAAGGCGTGGATTTTTAAAAGAATATTTTTTCGAGGCCTATATAAGGCGTGGATTTTTAAAAGAATATTTTTTCGAGGCCTATATAAGGCGTGGATTTTTAAAAGAATATTTTTTCGAGGCCTATATAAGGCGTGGATTTTTAAAAGAATATTTTTTCGAGGCCTATATAAGGCGTGGATTTTTAAAAGAATATTTTTTCGAGGCCTATATAAGGCGTGGATTTTTAAAAGAATATTTTTTCGAGGCCTATATAAGGCGTGGATTTTTAAAAGAATATTTTTTCGAGGCCTATATAAGGCGTGGATTTTTAAAAGAATATTTTTTCGAGGCCTATATAAAGCGTGGATTTTTAAAAAAATATTTTTTGAGGCCTATATAAGGCGTGGATTTTTAAAAGAATATTTTTTCAAGGCCTATATAAGGCGTGGATTTTTAAAAGAATATTTTTTCAAGGCCTATATAAGGCGTGGATTTTTAAAAGAATATTTTTTCAAGGCCTATATAAGGCGTGGATTTTTTAAAGAATATTTTTTTCAAGGCCTATATAAGGCGTGGATTTTTTAAAGAATATTTTTTCAAGGCCTATATAAGGCGTGGATTTTTTAAAGAATATTTTTTCAAGGCCTATATAAGGCGTGGATTTTTTAAAGCATATTTTTTCGAGGCCTATATAAGGCGTGGATTTTTTAAAGCATATTTTTGGAGGCCTATATGAGGCGTGGATTTTTTAAAGCATATTTTTTCGAGGCCTATATAAGGCGTGGATTTTGAAAAGAATATTTTTACAAGGCCTATATATGGCGTGGATTTTTAAAAGAATATTTTTTCAAGGCCTATATAAGGCGTTCCCATTCTCCTTATTATAACCTTAACGTGTCGACAATTATTTTAATTTGATCTCTTTGATCCCAGAGATCGCTTAAAATAGGCATTTCCATTCACTGGCCACATTTTCTGATAACGATCTCTGGTTGTTGCCCTGCCACATATTCCACAATTTTCATAATTCTAATTTGGCCAATTTTTTGTTTGATTTTTTTTAACTTCTTCTTACCAGCTATTTTGGGAATTGTTACGATTTTTAATGTGTCCAGCAGTCAAGTCAATCAATTGCCTAAAAACCAACCACCCAAATGAATGGACATTGTATCAGACAAAGCGTTTGGGTAGCTCCAACAAGATATTCATCGATCGATTTGGTGGCAAAGCGAATAACGAATGACGGACCAGACGTCATAATACAATTATGGTGATTCCGGTGTTACAAATCTTCTACTTATGGTCGATGTTTTTTTTCGTTCGTTCGCTCGCCGGTTCGTTTCGCTCTCCCTCCAACTCTCTCACTCGCTTTGCCTCGATGTGAGATGCTTTGGATTTCCCAACAAGGCAGTTTAAATGACTTCGCCAGTTGAACGTGTCTCGTGGAATCACATCATATCACAAAATGCAACGCCTTATTGCATCACTTACATCTGCCACCAATCGGCCGTAGTAGCCCAGATCTTTGTTTCATTTAAAGAGAGTTGACCAAGTTAAAATACATAGATGTGTTTGTGTGATTTGTTAGTTACTAAGTTAAAACATGAGGTTCAGAAAAAAAAAAACATTTGTAAATGACAAGGGGATGGGGAAGGATGCTCATGATCCACAAAGGGAATTTTGGGGAAGTCATGGAAAATTATGTGTACCACCAAAATATAGTTTAAATAATTCACAGAGGTCGGATTATTTTTAATGTTATTTTCCTGACTAAGGTATACCTCCCTCTCTCCTTTCAGTCTTTGTAATTATTTTTTTGATTTAACTGAAAACCAAATTCCAGAGATCCATATTTGTCATAATTTATATGCCTTGCTTTCAAATTCTAGATCAGGTGTCCGTCCGTTGACGGCCCTAAAAGAGGACAATTAAAATTCAATTTTACCATTTTGAGTCGAAACATAAAACAGCTGGACACAAATTTGAAATTCCATGTCCATGTTTCCTCTAGGCTATTAGCAACTTTAAATTAATAATGTTAACATGAGATTTTGGATTAGGAAAACAATGGAACAATGGTTGGAGGCGATACGGAGATCTGCTACACATCAGGGCATACATTCGAGGCCTATACAAGGCATGGATTTTTTAAAGAATATTTTTTCGAGGTCCACACAAGGCGTGGATGTTTTTAAAGACTATTTTTTCGAGGCCTAGACAAGGCGTGGATTTTATAAAGAATATTTTTTCGAAGACTAGGCAAGGCGTGGATTTTATAAAGAATATTTTTTCGAGGCCCAAACAAGGCGTGGATGTTTTAAAAGAATATTTTTTCGAAGCCTAGACAAGGCGTGGATTTTATAAAGAATATTTTTCGAGGCTTAGACAAGGCGTAGATTTTATAAAGAAAATTTTTTCGAGGCTTAGACAAGGCGTGGATTTTATAAAGAATATTTTTTCGAGGCTTAGACAAGGCGTGGATTTTATAAAGATTATTTTTTCGAGGCTTAGACAAGGCGTGGATTTTATAAAGATTATTTTTTCGAGGCTTAGAAAAGGCGTGGATTTTATAAAGATTATTTTTTCGAGGCTTAGAAAAGGCGTGGATTTTATAAAGGTCTTCAGCTCTTCTATAGAATATGTTGAGGTCTTCAGCTTTTCTATAGGAGAAGCTGAGGTCTTCAGCTCTTCTATAGAAGTAGCTGAGGTCTTCAGCTCTTCTATAGAAGTAGCTGAGGTCTTCAGCTCTTCTATAGAAGTAGCTCTTCTATAGAAGTAGCTGAGGTCTTCAGCTCTTCTATAGAAGTAGCTGAGGTCTTCAGCTCTTCTATAGAAGTAACTGAGGTCTTCAGCTCTTCTATAGAAGAAGCTGAGGTCTTCAGCTCTTCTATAGAAGAAGCTGAGGTCTTCAGCTCTTCTATAGAAGAAGCTGAGGTCTTCAGCTCTTCTATAGAAGAAGCTGAGGTCTTCAGCTCTTCTATAGAAGTAGCTGAGGTCTTCAGCTCTTCTATAGAAGTAGCTGAGGTCTTCAGCTCTTCTATAGAAGTAACTGAGGTCTTCAGCTCTTCTATAGAAGAAGCTAATGTCTTCAGCTCTTCTATAGAAGAAGCTAATGTCTTCAGCTCTTCTATAGAAGAAGCTGATTTCTTCAGCTCTTCTATAGAGGAAGCTGAGGTCTTCAGCTCTTCTATAGAAGAAGCTGAGGTCTTCAGCTCTTCTATAGAAGAAGCTGAGGTCTTCAGCTCTTCTATAGAAGAAGCTGAGGTCTTCAGCTCTTCTATAGAAGAAGCTGAGGTCTTCAGCTCTTCTATAGAAGAAGCTGAGGTCTTCAGCTCTTCTATAGAAGAAGCTGAGGTCTTCAGCTCTTCTATAGAAGAAGCTGAGGTCTTCAGCTCTTCTATAGAAGAAGCTGAGGTCTTCAGCTCTTCTATAGAAGAAGCTGAGGTCTTCAGCTCTTCTATAGAAGAAGCTGAGGTCTTCAGCTCTTCTATAGAAGAAGCTGAGGTCTTCAGCTCTTCTATAGAAGAAGCTGAGGTCTTCAGCTCTTCTATAGAAGAAGCTGAGGTCTTCAGCTCTTCTATAGAAGAAGCTGAGGTCTTTAGCTCTTCTATAGAAGAAGCTGAGGTCTTCAGCTCTTCTATAGAAGAAGCTGAGGTCTTTAGCTCTTCTATAGAAGATGCTGAGGTCTTCAGCTCTTCTATAGAAAAAGCTGAGGTCTTCAGCTCTTCTATAGAAGAAGCTGAGGTCTTCAGATCTTCTATAGACGATGCTGAGATCTTCAGCTCTTCTATAGACGAAGCTGAGGTCTTCAGCTCTTCTATGAAGAAGCTGAGGTCTTCTATATAAGTAGCTGAGGTCTTCAGCTTTTCTATAGAAGTAGCTGAGGTCTTCAGCTGTTCTATAGATGTTGCTGAGGTTTTCAGCTCTTCTATATAAGTAGCTGTGGTCTTCAGCTCTTCTATAGAAGTAGCTGAGGTCTTCAGTGTCTATCTGAGTCAACTTCCCCCTTTTAGAAGAAAAAGCATTAGTATGTCTTCAGCTAAACTAGATTTATTTATTCGACATGGCCAAAAAGGCATCACCAACAACAGCAACAACAACAGAAGAAAAAAAATCGACATGACAAAAGATCACCAGATCTAAATGGCAAAAAAATTAGAAAAAAATATTAAAGCGATGAATTCATGGCTGGTAAAAAGAATTAAAGCATTTAACTTTACAAGTGGCATGCAACATGTCGCACTTCAGACTAACTTCGGACTGAGCTGGACAATAAGAAGAAACAAAAGAGAAAAAAACCCCGATGCAATACAAAAGTCCAATTCAAAATGATGCGAGTTTTGGGATTTTTAGTTAGATTTTCCACAGCTTCGATTGACAGAAAAAAATATTGACTCAATTCTTGTTGTTGTTGCAGTTGCCGTTGGAGCATTCGGCCAGCCAAAACTTGGTATTTCTGTGATTGTGCGTTATTTATTTTCGCACAACATAAAAAATCAATAACTAAAATTCTTTTTATGTTGTTCGGCGTTTATTTTTTAGTTCGCAGTTGCTGCTGCACATTTTGTTTTTGTTATGATTTTTTGAAAAAAAAAATTAAAATTGAAAATTCATTCATTCAAGATTTCATTCCTGAGAATTTTGTTTCTGCTCTGCTGAGAGTTGGTTTGTTATAAAAGTAACGCCAAATCTGTAATAAATTACAGTTTATCATAACATATCTAAACTGATAGTTCGCTGGTGTCTTAAAGAAGTCCATAACATTTTTGTTTAAATCTTTAAAAAAAATATTTTTTTATTAAAAATGAAATTTTTGGTAAGGATATTCGGCGGAGTCTCCAAACCATTCCTGTATATAAAATGTCCATATTTGTGTGTCACAGATCCTTGCCTGTTTGTTCGCCGCTGCCGTGGCTGCTCCTGGTGGATTATATGGCGGCCATGGTGGTTATATTAGCGGCGGCTATGCAGCTCCAGCCATTAGTTATGCTGCTCCTGCTGTTAGTTATGCAGCTCCTGCCGTCAGTTATGCCGCTCCAGCTATCGTGAAAACTGCCGTTGCTGCCCCTGCCATCAGTTATGCTGCTCCAGCTGTTAGTTATGCTGCCCCGGCGGTAAGCTATGCTGCACCAGCCGTCGTTAAGGCTGTAGCTCCCGCTGCCACCAGTTATTCGACTTTCAGCACTGTAAGTTAAAAAAAAGTGAAGTAGAAGAAGCTGAGGTTTTCAACATTTCTATACCAGAAGCTGAGGCATTCCGCACTACTATTAAAGAGGCTGAGGTCTTCAGCTCGTCTATAGAAGAAGCCGATGTCTTCAGCTCGCCTATAGCAGAAGCTAATGTCTTTAGCTCGTCTATAGAAGAAGTTGAGGTCTTCAGCTCCCTCAGAGAGGAAGCTGAAGTCTTCAGCACTTCTATAGAAGAAACTGAGGTATTCACCTCTTCTATAGAAGAATCAGAGGTCTTCCAGTTTTTCCATAGAAGAAGGCCATCAGCTCTTCTAAAGTATAAGCTGAGCTCATTTATAGAAGATTCTGACGTCTTCAGATCTGATATAGAATATTCTTAAGTCTTCAGCTCTTCTATAGGAGAAGCTGAGGTCTTCATATCTTCTACTGAATAAGTTTTTTTATAGAAAAAGTTAAGCTCTTCTTCAGCTCTTCTATAGAAAAAGTTGAGGTCTTCAGCACTTCTATTGAATAAGCTGAGGACTTCAGTTTTTCTATAGAAAAAGTTGAGGTCTTCAGCTCTTCTATAGAAGAAGCTAAGGTCTTCAGCTCATCTATAGAAGTAAATGAGGTCTTCAGCTCTCCTATAGCAGAAGCTGAGGTCTTTAGCTCGTCTATAGAAGAAACTGAGGCCTTTAACTCGTCTATAGAAGAAGCTGAGGTCTTCATCTCTGCTACAGAAGAAACTGTGGTCTAGGCTCCTCTATAGAAGAAGCTGAGGTCTTCAGCTCGTCTCTAGAAAAAACTGAGGTCTTTAGCTCTTCTATAGAAGATCCTGAAGTCCTCAGCTCTTCTATAGACAAAACTTAAGTCGTTAGCTCTTCCGTAGAAAAGCTGACCTTCAGGTCTTCTATATAATAAGTTGAGGCCTTTAGTTCTTCTAAAATAAAATCTGAGGTCTTCAGCCCATTTATTGAAAAATCAGAGAACTTCAGGTCTTCTATAGACGAAACTGAGGTCTTTAGCTCTTCTATAGAAAAAAAATGTCGACGTTAGCTCTTATGTAAAAAAGCTGAGAAGCAGCTCCTTTAAATAATAAGTTGAGGTCTTCAGCTCTCTTATAAAAGAAGCTGCGGTTTTCAGCTCTTCTATAGAAGAAGCTAAGGTCTTCAGCTTGTTTATAGAAAAAGCTGAGGCCTTCAATTCTTCTACAGAATAAATTGAAGTCATCAGCTCTTCTTCCAGTTGTTCATTATTTTTGGATCATTAATATTCAAAATGTTCCCCCTTTCTCTGCCCCCTTAGGTCGTCAGCCACCCAGCCGCCGTTAAAGCTGTGGCCGTTGCCGCTCCAGCTCCTGTCGTTAAAGTAGCTGCTGCTCCCGCCATTTCATATGCTGCACCAGCTGTGTCCTATGCTGCTCCAGCCATTAGTTATGCTGCACCTTCATACTCATATGCTGCTCCAGCTGTTTCCTACAAAGCCATTGCTGCCGCTCCAGCAATCAGTTATGCCGCACCCGCCTTATCCTATGGTTATGGACATGGTTATGGCTATGGACACCATTAAATTTTGGAACAAAAAATCTGAATAACAGTATCAAAATTCCCCCCGAAAACAAACTTTCAAGCCGATTTCGACGTATTTTTTTGTTAGTCATTACAAATTTGTGAGAGGATTTTTTAGAATTTTTTGAACAAAATGGATGTGGAACCAAGATTAAATGTAAATGTTAAAACGTATCATGAGAAAAGAGAGAGAAAAATAATTTATAACAACGGAGAGAGAGTGATATAACCAACCAACCATCCAATCACGCAAGAGCCTTACGTTACGTTTTGTTACAATTTCAATGTTTTTCATCGTTTCAATATTTCCTTTGCATAGCAGAAAGAATCAAATGTATTATCTTCTATTTATAATAAAATTTTCAATTATCGAAATGAAATAATAATTTCGATTTAAAATATTTTAAGTCTTTTGCTAATTTTTATATTTTCTTTTCCGCTTTTTTTTTCTTTTGTAATTAACCTAAAGTATTTTTGTGTTAGTTTTAATGGTGAGGAAAAAAGTTCATATTTATAAATAGGAGGAGATGATATTATTTTTATTTTTAAGGACATTCGAAATTATAAAGGTATACAATGGTGATAATACGTTTTAGGCCTTTGAAATTATTTTAATATTAAAAAATAATATTGTAAATAAATTTGTTGTGAACTTTTTTCATAAAAAATGTTGTTTTTTTATTGACATTGTTTTATTATTGAAGATAATAAATTAATTATAATGGGAGAGATAGGGGACAAAAAAGTTATATAAATTAATACAAAGATTGGTCACCTAAAAGTCTTTCTCCTATAAAATACCAATAGATGCACTTTAATAATAACGTATCAAGAGAAGAAGCTGGATCTGCGACAGCTGTAATATCTATCGCATAAGTATACCATATGCTGGCATCGTCCAGAACTATCGTATATATGGAAATATATTCTTGAGAAAATGCGCCAGTCACTGAGAAATATTTGTGGATCCTTCGAAATGGGAAAACATGAATTAGGAGCACATTAAACAATATAAACTTCGTTGATATAACAACAGTGGTGAACCAACGAGATGATTCGAAGATAAAAAGGAAGATAAAACATTCTAACGTCGACGAAGAATCATCAATTGCGACATTAAAATTATTATATTTCACTTCGGAGAGACCTTCATCCATCACTTTAGATACTCCTAAACACCTTCCATAGTCTTTGAATTGTGTTTTGAACTCGTTAAGTGTCAAGCCAATTTTTCCAACTGCCACCTCGTCGATTTAGTTATATATGGTTGGCCCTTTATTAATTCAGCCATCTAGAAGGACGTCTTCATCAAAGAAGCTTTTAACAAGTCAATAAATAATAATACAATTCGGCAAAAAATACTCTCCTAGCTACTCTGTCGACTATAGAGCACCTTCAAATACCTTAGAAGTTCTAAAAACGTCATTCACAAATCGAAGCTATGAAAGGGGTATAATTTATAAAATATTCTCACAGCGTCCCGAAAGCTGAAGATCTCATTTTATTGTATAGAATAATCTGAGGTCTTCCATAGAAAAAGCTGAGGTCTTCAGCTCTCCTATGAAAGAAGCTGAGGTCTTAAGCTAAGGTCTATAGAAGAGGCTAAGGTCTTAGCTCTTTCGTATAAAAACTGAGGTCTTCAGCCATTTCATAAGAAGAAGCTGAGGTCTTCAGCTGTTCTATAGAAGTCTTCAGCTCTTCCGTAAAAGAAGCTGAGGCCTTCAGCTTTTCTATGGAAGAAGCTGAGGTCTTCAGCTCTTCCGTAGAAGAAACTGAGGTCTTAACTCCTTCCATAGAAGAAGTTGATGGTTCAAGGTCTTATATAGAATAAGCTGAGATCTTCAGCTTTCTATAGAAGAGGCTGAGGTCTTCATCTCTTCCATAGAAGAAACGGAGCTCTTCATATCTTCTATAGAATGAGCTGAAGTCTATACAAAAAGCGATGGTCTTCAGCTCTTTCATTGAATAAGCTGTGTTCTATAGAAGAGGCTGAGGTCTCATCTCTTCTGTAGAAAAAACTGAGATTTTCAGTTGTCCTATAGAAGACGATGAGGTCTATAAAATAATCTGCGGTCAACAGTTTTTCTACAGGAGAAGCAGAAGTATTCAGCTCTTCCATGGATGAAGCTGAGGTATTCAGCTCTTCTATGGAAGAAGCTGAGGTATTCAGCTCTTCTGTGGAAGAAGCTTAGGTCTTCAGCTTTTTCATATAATTAACTGACGTCTTCAACTCGTCAGTAGAAAAAGTTGAGGTCATCTATAGAAGTAGTATGCTATAGAAGAAGTCAAGACAAAATAAAAATGCGATAATAATTAATGATATGATAAAAAATATCAGCCAATACGGAGAAAGAAGACTGAATATAATTTTAAATTTAATTGAATATTTTTAAAAGAGGGTACTGGGACCTCTCAATATCTGAATACTGTTAAAAGAATTAAAAATTCTCTTTATGGCCATTATTGACCACATGTGAGACTAAGGGGATCTGTTGATGGAATTGTTAGGTATGTCTGTCTGTCGATTCTGAGAGCGCAAATAAAGACAGCGACGATGGGGGGAATTAGGAGAAAGCTGGATATACTACAAAAAGCCTTTCCGCCAGCTTCTTTAATTTTCTTAAAGCGGCGAATGGAGCTGGCCTCCAAAGGAAAGTCAGAAGAACACATAAAAATTCGTCAAGAAATTGGAAAGATTTTCTACAAAAATTCTATGGACTTCTCCGAATGAGACAAAGGCGATCTGTGAATGAGTTGAATATAACAACGATGTGTTAGGAACATCTGGACAAATGGGGATATCTTCGTTCGGGGGTCTAATATTAGTATATAAACCTAATATTGATATATAAACCTTCAGTATAATTTTAGTCGACTCTAAAGATAGTTTAGCCTACTGAATATATTTTCTCCACCAAAGATTGGTCATAGACATCATTAAACCCCTTAATTCATCTAGTTCGGGAGTCTATATAGTCTTCTGAACTCGTACATTAGCCTATAAATAAAAGTTTATAGGCTAGTGTAAATTTATTCGTTCGTTGGCTACCTTTAGGAGTTTTTGGGGGCAGTCATCTGAAAAGCCGTCTTCTTTAGATCACTAGAATGTTTTTAACTCCTATCTTATAATCTTCGCATTTGTTCTCTCCAAAGAAATCCCCCATACCACTATCAATTACCAAATGACATTAGGGTGCAAACTCTTTAGCTTCCCAGGCGATAAGCGGTAAATCTTCTCCGAACATGTGTAATGGATATTTTTAGTTTTGTAGAAACTAAAAGGCTCTAGGTTAAATAACAATAACACCACAATTAAAAAAGGTAAAGAAATTTGACGATTGACGATTATGATATGTCTTAATGAACATGTCAAAAGCGACGTGCGTGTACAAACGTAGTAAAGAAATAGGGATTGCTGATCAAAAAATGAATACGAATTCTTATCAAGATACATTAATTTCAAATTAGACTTTTCAAATTACAAATAATTTAACGCAGAAAAATAATGAACGAGAAATAAACTTCCCCACTTTATGGGATTTTTCGGCCTTAAATAAACTTCTCCAGTTTTTGGGGATTTTAGAAATAAATATCTCGTAATATGGGAAATTTAATTAAAAATGGGCTCATCATTTCTAAACTTCCTAGAATTATTCATTTCAACGAATCTCCACAGTGTCTTTGGAGATTTCTAATGAAAAATAAATTTCCCCACTTTTGGGGATTTTTCAAAAAATTCCATGAATTTTTAATATTACTATTTAAAGTGATTTTGAGCCATATTTGCATAATTCTATAAAGAAAATCAAGTGCCGGGTATATAGTATTAATTAAATATCAAATTATAAAAAATCCCCACTTTGGGGATTTTTGATAAATTTTGGTACATTCTTGGAAAAACATCAAAATACAACTCTGCCCTGAGTATTTATAAAACCTAAACTAGATTTATCAACATTAAGTTTAAATTGACCTTTATTTTATTTTCCCCACTTTTGGGGATTTTAAAAAAGGTTTCCCTGACTTTTGGGGATTTTAAAAATAGTTTCCCTGATTAAAAAAAATCTTCAAATTTTAAATTATACCCAATAGCTCTTTAAAAGAGTTTCCCCACTTTGGGGATTTTTAAAAAATCTCCCGTTTTTTTTAGGAAAAATTTCCAAATTGAAATTTATGCTGAATATTTTTACCTATGATATATTTATTTGATTATGACCATCATTAAATTCGAATATCCCCTTTTTTAATTTTCCCCACTTTTGGGGATTTTTAAAAAAAAAATCTCCCTGATTTTAAAGAAATACATCTCTACACGAAATATTTATACCCTAAACTAGATGTATCCGATTATGGTCGTCATTGACCATAGCAGGCAAGCGCGATACACACCAGGCAGACACAATGATGGCCACACGCACAACGCTAAGCAGCGAGAGCAATTTAATTCACAGCATTTAATTTGATGGCAAGGTGGCAACAATCCAGTCACATCGCTTAACCAGGGGAGGGGGCTGGGGACAAATGAGGTAAGAAAAACATTTTCATTGAAAGAGAAAAACCAACATTGCATCACTGGCCAAAACGCATTGCCGGTATTTTGCACCGATTTCTGTTGACGACGTTGTTTTTGCTGCTGGATCGATCTTCCATATGGGATTAGATGGTGGATTCTTTCAGCTTTGTTTGGTTTCAACTTTAATTTTATTTCGCATTGCTTTGTTTTGATCTCTTTTTCGGTTTTGTTATAAAAGTAATGGTCAAAACAATGATAGATTACAGTAACGTCGAAGGCATCCAAACGGGCAGTCCTGTAAACTGATACGCTTTATCTTACAAAAAAAAAATCCTTTAAAAATCAATTAAAAATTGTTATTTCAAAAACAAAAAACTCTAACAATATGAAGTTTTTGGTGAGCAATTGAAAGAAAAGGAGAAGAGAATTGATAAAAATTCAAAAAAGTGTTTCAAAAATATAATGTGCCAACATATTATTGTGTTATAGATCCTGATTTCTTTGATTGCCGCAGCCGTCGCTGCTCCTGGTGGATTATATGGCGGTCATGGCGGTTATTATGGTGGTGGCATTAGCTATGCTGCCGCTCCCGCCGTCAGCTATGCTGCACCGGCTATAAGTTATGCCGCCGCCCCTGCTGTCAGCTACGCCGCCGCACCTGCCATTAGTTATGCTGCCCCTGCCGTTCAAGTTGCTGCCGCTCCTGCTATTAGTTATGCCGCCCCAGCTGTCCAAGTTGCTGCCGCCCCGGCTGTTGTTAAGGCTGTCGCTGCACCACAAGCTACCAGTTTCACCACATTCAGCAGTGTAAGTTGTGTGAATGGGGAAGTGAGTGAAGGTGGAATGAGGAAGAGTTTTGAGATGTGAACTAATTTTCGGATAAGATAATGGGATTAGTTACAAAATTGTTTTGTGAAATGGGGAAATAGTCAGATAATAGGGATGAGGTGATTTTTACGGACAGATCTGAAGAAGAATATTCTGACTGACTGACTCCTCTAGAAGTATTTCTCTAGAAATCTATATGTGAGATCCCATAATACCTTATGTGAATGTTGAGGCAGCGCCATCTACATTTAAACAAATGGTAAACAATATTGAAGAAGACTTCTCAGGAAGTAATCCTCAATAAACCTACATACTTATAATACCCCATAAAATCGTATTATATGAGTGTTAGGGCAGCGCCACCTAGAATTTAGCATTAAAACAGCAACGACATAAACCAAATCCCAATTTAATTTCTAACAGGCTGCTACCACGACACCATGTTCGAGGTCCACATGAGATTGGAAACATTTATATAAGATTTCATCTTGAGCATTACTAAATTATTTTTCTTCCTTCTAAATGATGTGCCCCACTTAAAATAGCTCTTCATAATAATAGCTGAATTTCTTTCCGGAAAGAGGACCTTAAGCATGGACTAAAGTGAGGCTATGGCCAATAGTTTTGAGAACAAATCTTGAGAACTCTCAGGAAATGTCCATCAAGAAGTATATGGTCATAACAAATGGTCTTATTGTTGATGAGGTAGCGACATCTTCTGCACGAAATGGTATTATTTATAGTAGCAAAGACGTGCAACAAATAAATCCCTTAAAAAATGTTATTTTCCGAACAGTTTTTGTATGTCAAACTAAAGCGCATCCTCTTTTCCTAAATTATTTCTTCTCGGATTTCTTCTAAAATCGTAACATCATTCAAAGGGTCTCTTAAAGAAGATTCGATTACAAAACAAATGAAGTTCGACCATGAAAATGTAAGTGAAGCTTCCTATGAAAAATATTTGATTTTCAAACTGGTACTCGATATTTCGTAGATACAAACTGGGAAAATCCATCAATAAGCCTATCGTTTATTGAAAACTCTCACTAAAAAAGTATGGTCATAGCATATGGTCATATTACTGATGAGGTAGCGACATCTTCTGCACGAAATGTTCATATTAATAGTTACAAAGACATGCACCAAATACATCCCTTAGAAAAATGATATTTTCCGAAAAGTTTTTGTATGTCGAATTAAAGCTTGACCGGACCTCTTTTTCTAGATCTAACTTATTTCTTGTCGGATTTCTTCTAAAATATTAACATCATTCAAAGGGTCCCTTAAAGAGGACCTTAAGAATACTTTATGGATTCGATTATAAAAACAATGAAGTTCGGACATGAACATGTAAGTGAAGCTTCCTATGAAAGATATTTTGATTTTGAAATTGGTACCCAATATTTTTTTAGTTATAATCTTGAAAACAGTAAGGAAAAAAACCATCAATAAGCTTATCGTTTATTTTAAATGTCATAGCATATGGTCATATTGTTTATGAGACAGCGACCTCTACTGGATGAAATGTTCATACTTAAAGTAGCAAAGGTTTGCACCAATACATTCCTTAGAAAAACACTATTTTCCGAAAAGTTTTTGTATGTCAAACTAAAGCCCATCCGGACCTCTTTTCCTATTTTTTTATGCCTAATAGACCATTCAAAAGGTCTATTAGACATATCTTCAATAAACAAATAGAGTATTTCTGAATCTCTTCTGATAGACCTGCAGAAAAGTTGATACCCTTCAAAGGTATTCTGTAATTTATAAGACTTCGAAATGCAATTGAATCATAGATTAATAAATTATGAGGTAACGTCACCTACATGAAGAAATAACTAACCGAACATTAGCAAAGCCATCCACCTCTTCACTTCCGTATAAAATTGTCGTTTTTGTGTGAAGACAGGGTGGTCCATAATTTGAAGTGTGGCTGGATTGCCAACAACAAACTTACAGCGATGTTCCCAATATGAAAAAGCATTCGAGAGGTTTTTTGAAAAGCATTCGAGGGGTTTTTTGAAAAGCTCTAAAGAAATTTTATATTCTTGAGAGAAAAATGTGCAAGGCCTTCCACTGAAATGTCGATTTTAAGGCTTGTTAACGACTTAGAACACATTATAAGGCTTCTGAAGCTTCGGAGCGTCAGTAGACTTTTTTTTAAAGTCTGAAATACAATTCTAAGCTATGAAAACCTAAAAATTTATGCCACGCTCTTGAACCAATATAAGTTTGCAGTAGATGTAAGAGAGGAGTTGGGTTTTGAGAGAGATTTGATACAGTTCATGACCATGGTAAGGTTAAATGCTATAAGAGGTTGGGGTAATTTGAAATCTTGGAATCTTTCGGGTCTAAACACCACTAAAGGAAGTATACACTCTAAATTAGAGACTTTAAGAAAGCCTCACAATTCAGTAAGACCTCTTGACACGGTCTTGAAGCAATATATGTTTACAGGATATGTATGTATGGGGGTATCGAGAGAAATTCGATACAGTTCCTGTCCATGGAAAGATGAAATACTTTTAAGGCTTGAGGTAATCTGAAAATCTATAAGTCTTTATCGACGAACTTAAGGGGGTCTTTATAGACGAGCTTAATACAATTTTAAAGGACTTCGACCAGCAGAAGACCTTGCGGATTGATTTCCATAGCTGGTATATATATTTTTAAAAGACCAATGGATTCTCAATATAACATATATATTTTAATAGAATGTATATAATTAGAAAATTGATTCGAAAGGAGTTCAATTGATTTACAATGGTTTTCTTATCACTAAAAATTGTCATCTAAATTAAAAATGAAAACATTGTCTCCGTTTTTTCCATTACAGGTTGTAAATCAACCCGCTGCCGTTAAAACTATTGCCGTTGCTGCTCCAGCACCAGCCATTTCCTATGCTGCCCCGGCCGTTAAAGTTGCCGCTGTTGCTGCTGCGCCCGCCATTTCATATGCCGCTCCAGCTGTTTCCTATGCTGCTCCTGCCATCTCGTATGCTCCATCAATTTCTTATGCCGCTCCTGCCGTTTCCTACGCTGCACCAGCAGTTTCCTATAAGGCTGTAGCTGCTGCACCAGCCATTAGTTATGCTGCGGCTGCACCCGCCATTTCATTGGGTTATGGTTATGGCGGCTATGGTGGTTATGGCTATGGTCATGGACACCACTAAGTCGATTCACTAAAGCCAATTGTGAAATTATCCAAACAACAACAAAACCGCCGCATTGTAAACCTACGAATTTCTGAAGACATTTAATTTCATATATTTTTTAATTTTAAGTAAAAAAACAAGAAGAAGAGGAAGAAAAAATAATCTGCGAGAAGCACAAACACTCTGAGAGAAAGAATCACCACACATCACCAACTGCATAAATACGCAACTAATTTTCATTATATATTACTTTTTATTTTCTTCCATTTCATTATTAACCATACACGATTTTTTATTATAATTATTGTTATTATTACTTATTTTTGTTGTATTATTATCACTTCACTTTTTTTTTGTTGTAAATCAGCTTTAAATGGCACAGAAGAAAGTTCATCCAAAGTTTTAAGCTTTCGGCCATGTCAGGTGGAAGAAGAAACAAAAATACAGGGAACCATTGTGGATTTTAGAAGTTCATCATTTCAAGTGATTTTTTAGGTTATTTTGAGAATTTCAAAAAATTAAGACAAACAAATTATTTTAGAAAAGTAAAGATGAAGAAAAAATTACCAAAAAAAATATTTAAAATAAAAATGAACTTTTTTCATATAAAAGTGCAATTTACTTGGTTTTTATTTTTAATATTGGGGACCAATACTTCTAGAACCAGATTCCGGATCACAAAAGTTAATCTGAAGTGTTTGGGATAGGGTTAAGGAATGTCGGTTCAAAAGTGTTTTTATCTTTTTCGGTTCTCTCTGCAAAAGGAACTTCAGCATTCGTTTAGTTCCATAGCAGCCCAAATCGTTCATTGGCACACGTCAATTATTTCGGTCTATGATTGGAAAGATCTAGATAAACGATGGGCTCAAAAGAAACTAGCTGAACGAGGACAAAAAGGAACAAAATGAACGAAAGAACTGACCTAGTACCGATCGTTCCTTTTGCGGAATAGTTCCTTTGAACTAGTTCGTTCTAAAATGACGACCAGATCCGAGATGATCTTTAGATAGAAAAAAATCGTTTTTTTTTTTATGTTGAGCTTAATGATCGACATTTTGCAACGAAGAAGAACGTCAGAGGGAACCTAGCTAAAACGAGCTGAAGGGAGTCTTTATAGACGACGAACTGAAGGGAGTCTTTATAGACGACGAACTGAAGGGAGTCTTTATAGACGACGAGCTGAAGAGAGTCTTTATAGACGACGAGCTGAAGGGAGTCTTTATAGACGACGAGCTGAAGGGAGTCTTTATAGACGACGAGCTGAAGGGAGTCTTTATAAACGACGAGCTGAAGGGAGTCTTTATCGACGACGAGCTGAAGGGAGTCTTTTTAGATGACGAGCTGAAGGGAGACTTTATAGACGACGAGCTGAAGGGAGTCTTTATAGACGACGAGCTGAAGGGAGTCTTTATAGACGACGAGCTGAAGGGAATCTTTATATACGACGAGCTGAAGGGAGTCTTTATAGACGACGATCTGAAGGTCTTTATAGACGAGCTGAAGGAAGTCTTTATAGACGAGCTGAAGGGAGTCTTTATAGACGAGCTGAAAGGAGTCTTTATAGACGACGAGCTGAAGGGAGTCTGTATAGACGACGAGCTGAAGGGAGTCTTTATAGACGAGCTGTGAAGGGAGTCTTTATAGACGAGCTGTGAAGGGAGTCTTTATAGATGAGCTGAAAAGGGAGTCTTTATAGACGAGCTGTGAAGGGAGTATTTATAGATGAGCTGAAAAGGGAGTCTTTATAGACGAGCTGAAAAGGGAGTATTTATAGACGACGAGCTGAAGGGAGTCGTTATAGACGTCGAGCTGAAGGGAGTCTTTATAGACGTCGAGCTGAAGGCTGTCTTTATAGACGCGCTGAAGGGAGTCTTTATAGATGAGCTGAAAAGGGAGTCTTTATAGACGACGAGCTGAAGGAGTCTTAATAGACGACGAGCTGAAGGGAGTCTTTATAGACGAGCTGAAGGGGTTTTTTATAGGCAAGTTGAAGGGAATCCTTTTTGGCTAGTTGAAAGAAGTCTTTGTAGACGCGCTGAAGGGAGTCTTTATAGATGAGCTGAAAAGGGAGTCTTTATAGACGACGAGCTGAAGGGAGTCTTTATAGACGACGAGCTGAAGGGAGTCTTTGTAGACGACGTGCTGAAGGAGTCTTTATAGACGACGAGCTGAAGGGAGTCTTTATAGACGAGCTGAAGGGGGTTTTTATAGGCAAGTTGAAGAGAATCCTTTTTGGCTAGTTGAAAGAAGTCTTTGTAGACGGGCTGAAGATGTCTTTATAGACGATCACAAGGAATATTTTTTAGTCTATGTCAAGTTTTTAAATTCGAATCTTACATCTATTACAAACTGAATGGATTTAGTCCTTGTCTTTGTTTCGTTTTAATTTTTTTATTACAGCTACGTAGATGTAGCCTATCCTAGGAGCTTTCGGGCTGCCATCTATCGTTGTCTAGAAACAACGCCTCTTTGAATTTTGTGCCGTGGTGGGAACTTTACTTTTTTCAGGGTTGCTATTTTTCCAGTCATTCCTACGTCAGTAGTTGGGAAGGGTTTTCTTATAAAAGACCAGTAGATCTTTTTCCTCCTGGGAGCATTGGGCTTCTACAAAACATCACTACTTAATTTGAGTAGTCCTTGTCTATGTTTCGTTTTAATTTTTTTATTACAGCTAAGTAGATGTAGCCTATCCTAGGAGTTTTTGGGCTGCCATCTATCGTTGCCTAGAAACAATGTCTCCTAGAATTTTGTGTCATGGTTGAGAACCTTACTTATTTCAGGGCTGCCATTTTTCCTGTCATTCCTATGTCAGGTAGCTTCGTTCATATTTAATCTGGATGAAGTTGTAAGCCTATTTTTACAAATGAAAGTAATTTTTCCTTCTCTACTGGAGTTCGAAAACCGGACCCACCGGTTTGTAGTCTTAGATATACCAGAAAATATTCTAATAGTAAATAAAATGGTATTATAATAGAAGATCTGAAGGTCAGCCGCGAGATTTGATATTCCTATTCAGCGAGATTTGGTTTCCCTAGACAGCGATCGTTGGTTTCCTAGTCAGCTATCATTGGCTTCTCCAGCCTTTGTATCACTAGTCTGCGAGCTTTGGTTTTCCTAATCAGCCTTGGTCTCCTTAGTCAGCGAGCCTTGATATTAGTAGACAGCGAACTTTGGCTTCCATAGTCAGCAAGTCTTGGTTCCCTAATCAGTGAGCTTTGGTTTCCCCAGTCAGCGAGCCTTGGTGCCACTAATCAGCGATCCTCGGACTTGTGAGATTCTCTATCCCTATTCAGCGAGACTTTATGACAACAAGACTTGGTCTCCCATTCAGGGAGACTTGGTGTCCTAGTCAGCGAGACTTGGTTTCCTAGTCAGCGAGACTTGGTCCCCTTAGTCAGCGTGATTTGGTCACCAAAGACATCGAGACATGGTCTCCCTAGTCAGCGAGACATTGTATCCCTAGTCAGCGAGACTTTGTCTCCCTTGTCAGTGACCCTTGGTCTACCTAGTCAGCGCTACTAGGGAGACCACTAGTAAGCTAGACTTGGTCTTCCCAGTCAGCGAGACTTGGTGTTACTAGTCGATACTTGGTCTTTCTAGACATCGAAACTTGGTCTTCCTAGTCAGCGAGACTTCGTCTCACTAGTCGATACTTGGTCTTTCTAGACATCAAGATTTGGTCGCTATAGTCAGAGGGCCTGGGTATCCTTAGTCAGCGAGCCTTGGTCTCCCTAAGTAGAGAGACTGGATGTTCCTATTTAGCCAGACTTGGTGTCCCTTGTCAGCGTGACTTGATCTTCATAGGCAGCAAGACTTGGTCTCTCTAGCCAGCGAGATTAGGTCCCCAGTCCCAGTACCTTAGTATACCTAATCGGCTTTGGTTACGCTATTCAGTGAACCTTGATATCGCAAATCATTGATATTATTTTATGCTAATCTAGGTATGTCCCTAATAATTGATTTTAATAATTGATTTAATTATTTCAAATAACTAATAAATTTATCTTCTTCCTATTACAGCAATCATCCTCGGAATCTTCGGTTTCTATTACCACACCAACATCTGTCGTCAAGGTGGCTGCTGCTCCTGCCATCCAAGTTGATCCTGTAGCTCATTCCATTTCTCCGGCACCTGTAGCTTCGTATGTTAGTCCTGCCCTTTACATTACGCTTCATATCCTCCCTTTACCCTATATTACATATCCAATGCGGCTCCAGATTCCCTTCCCAGCCATAAGTTTAACTGACACTGTTCGACTTAGAATATTAATTGATCTTTTCCATATAACTTTCCTTTTAGAACCCCTTACAACTACCATCTCCATGTTCAGCAACTCTCATCTCCAAAATTGGACGCGCCAGAATAATTATAAAACAAATGACCAGCAATTAGTTAAATGTTGCACAATTAACCTAAGAAGTTTCTCCCAATGCAGGCAGGCTGACCGGCAGCACCATAAATATTTTCACAGCTTCGAGTTTTTTCTTCTTCGTTGACTTCTCGATTCCGACAATTCCTCATTTGTTTGCTGTGTTGTAACACAGTTTTAGATTGTAAGTTTTGCCAAAAGTGAAAAACAAAACCGGCCCAAAAATTCTTGGCGATGGTTATGTTTGGTGAGTGAGCATTTCTGATATTGGTGTTCAATATTGGCTAGATTCAGTTTTTCTAACCGAATTGTTCGCCGTTCGATGATAGTATGTTGTTATAAAAGTTACAACAGAATCACTGATTGATTACAGTAACTCATAACACTTCTAAACGTTGAGAAGTGTTTGACGGGTATTTTTGACATATCCTTTTATAAACCGAACATAAACGTAACGGGAAAAAAGAAACCGCTTGTAAAAATGCAAATTTTGGTGAGCAGGATAAACGATCACAAAACCAAATTGAATTGAATAACAAATTTTCAAACGTGTGTGTCTGTGTGTGATTTTAGATTTTATTCGCTTTGATTGCTGCTGCCTGTGCGGCTCCCGGTGGATTATATGGCGGTCTTGGTGGATATTATGGTGGTGGTATTAGTTATGCTGCTGCTCCCGCAGTCTCATATGCGGCAGCTGCTCCTGCTGTCAGTTATAAAGCTGTAGCGGCAGCACCGGCCATAAGTTACGCTGCCGCTCCGGCAGTAAGTTATGCTGCAGCAGCGCCAGCTGTTAGCATCAGAACTGTGGCAGCAGCTCCGGCAGTTAGCTATGCCGCAGCGGCTCCAGCAATTAGTTATGCTGCTCCGGCTCCAGTAGCAGTTGCTGCTCCAGCACCAGTTGCTGTAGCTGCAGCGCCAGCTATTCAAGTAGCTGCCGCACCGGCAATTGCTGCTGCCCCTGCCATACAAGTTGCCGCTGCTCCAGCTGTTCAAGTGGCTGCCGCCCCTGCCGTTCAAGTGGCTGCTGCCCCTGCCGTTAAAGTTGCCGCCGCTCCAGCTGTACAAATCGTTAAGGCTGTCATTCCTGCTTCGACCACAACAACCACATTCAGTACAGTAAGTATTTGGGTAAAAGGTCTTGGCCTCCCTAGTCAGCAAGCTTTGGTCTCTTTAGTCGGTCAGCCATGGTTTCCCTATTCAAATAGACTTGGTCACAATAGTCAGCGATATAGGTATCCCTGGTCAGCGAGACTCTGTCTCCCTAGTCAGTATGACTTGTTCCCCCTAATCAGCTAGACTTGGTCTCCTTAATCAGCGAGACTTGTTCTCCCTAATCAGCGCGACTTGGTCTACCTAATCAGCGAGACTTTGTATCCCTAGTTAGAGAGAACTCGTCTCTTTAAGCAGCGAAAATTGGTCCCCTAATCAGCGAGACTTAGTCTACCTAATCAGAGAGACTTTGTATCCCTAGTCAGCCAGTCTTTGTCACCCAAGACAGCGAGACTTTGTATCCCTAGTTAGAGAGAAGTGGTCTCCTTAATCAGCGAAAATTGGTCCCCTAATCAGCGAGACTTATCTCCCTAGCCAGCTAGACTTGATTTCCATAGTCAAGGAGCCTTACTCACCCTAGTCATCGAGCCCTACTCACCCTAGTCGGTGAAACTTGGTGCTCCTAGTCAGCGAGACTTGGTCTCCATAGTCAGCGAGACTAGGTATCCTAATCAACGAGAATTGATCTGCCAAATCGGCGATTCTTGGTATCCACAATCATCTAGGTTTCGTCTTCCTGGGCAGCGATCCTAGGTATCCCTAGTCAGCAAGACTAGGTTTTCCTAGTCAGGGTGAATTGGTCTCCCTAATAAACGAGAGTTGGTATCCCTAATCAGCGAGAATTAGTCTCCTAAGCGTCGAGAGTTGGTCTCCCTTATGGGTGAGACTTGGTCTCCCTAATCAGCGAAACTTGCTCTCCCTAATCATCGAGACCTTAAACTGAATATACATTAGAACTTTTTACCGGTTTAACCTACTTTATGAGGATTTATTTGACATATATGCAAAGTAATTGAAAATTGAAACCCACTTGGTTAACGAAATCCGCTTAAATGTAAACGTACTATTAGTATCTCTAGTCATGATTCAGATTCCTGAATCCACGATCCTAGGACTACCCAATCAGTGAACCCAATTTTGTTCCATAAATATTTTCATATAACTAATTTAAATCCTCTCCTCCACAGTACATCAATCATCCTCAGACCCTACGTGTTGCTGTTGCCGCACCAGCCCCCGTCGTTAAAGTTGCCGCTGCTCCTGCCGTCCAAGTCGCCGCCGCTCCTGCTGTACAAGTTGCCGCTGCCCCAGCAGTTCAAGTTGCTGCTGCACCCGCCATTGCTGCTGCGCCGGCTATACAAGTTGCTGCCGCTCCTGCTATTGCTGCTGCACCGGCAATTTCATATGCTGCCGCTGCCCCCGCCATATCCTATGCACCATCGATATCTTATGCTGCTCCTGCCGTTTCCTATAGAGCTGTAGCTGCTGCTCCTGCCATAAGTTATGCCGCTGCTGCGCCAGCTGTCTCTATCAAATCTATTGCCGCCGCTCCGGCCATAAGTTATGCTGCTGCCGCTCCAGCGGTTTCCTTTAAATCCATTGCTGCTGCTCCAGCCATTTCATTGGGTTATGGCGGTTACGGTGGTTATGGCTATGGGCATCATTAAGTTCAGCAAAACAAAATATGTAAACTCTTCAAAGTCAATGCAAAAAGGATAACGGAAAAGCAATGTTTTATTTTTTTTCTCAATGAAATTTACTATTTAAGGATTACAAGGGATTAATACCAGAGAACGACCATCTTAGGCTGATCAATTTAAAATATCTTAATCGAGCAGAAAGAATCATATTTTCTTCAAGAATATTTTTATAAAGTATTTTGTTTAACTAATTTTCCTCAATTTTTTCCAATTAACATGCCATCGTTTTTTTAGGTTAGGATTTTTGTTTCGTTTATATATGTGTATGTACCTGTGTTTATTTGCTTATTCGTTTATTTCGTGTAATGGCATAGAAGAAAGTTCTGTAACCACAAAAAAAAAAAAATAGAAGAGTGTGGTTATTTGTGGATCAAGACTTGAATGTTATAAAGATTATGTGATTGAAAAAAGAGAATGAATTCTGAATGTATTGAATTATATGAAAATAAAATTATGAACTTTTTTCGTAAAAATGCAAAAAAAATCGAAGTGTTTTCTGTGGATCGCATAAATAAAAATATTTCCCTCTAGTGAGTCGTCCTATAAAGTGAGACTTGGTCTCCCTAGTCTGTGAGCCTTGGTATCCCTAGTCAGCGAAACTTGGTCTCCCTAGTCAGTGAGCCTTGGTCTCCCTACTTAGCGAGCCATGGTCTCCCTAGGCAGCGAGCCTTGCGGTCCCTAGTCAGCCTAGTCAGTGAGCCTTGGTCACCCTAGTCACTGAAACTTGGTCTCCCCAGTCAGCGAGACTTGGTCTCCCCAATTAGCAAGACTTGGCCTACCAAGTCGGCAAGACTTGGACACTGTAGTCGGGGAGACTTGATCTTCCTAGTCAGCAAGTCTTGTTCTCCTTTGTCAATGTGGTAACCTTAGTCTGCGAGCCTTGATATTCCTAGTCAGTGGGACTAGGTCTCTCTATTCAAGGAGCCTTGGTATTCATAGTCAGCGAGACTTGGTCTCCCCAGTCAGCGAGACTTGGCCTCCCCAGTCAGCGAGCCTTGGTCTCCCTAGTCACTGAAACTTGGTCTCCCCAGTCAGCGAGATTTGGTCTCCCAGTCAGCGGGACTTGGTCTCCCAGTCAGCGGGACTTGGTCTCCCAGTCAGCGAAACTTGGTCCCCCTAGTTAGTGAGACTTGGTCTCCCTAGTCAGCGAGACTTGGTGTACCAAGTCAACAAGACTTGGACATTATATTCGGGGAGACTTCATCTTCCTAGTCAGCGAGTCTTGTTCTCCCTAGTCAATAAGACTTGACTTCCCTAGTCAGCAAGACTTGATCTCCCTAGTCAGCAAGACTTCTTCTCCCTAGTCAGCGAGCTTTGGTATCCCTAGTCAGCGAGCCTTGGTCTCCCTAGTCAGCGAGCCTTGGTCTTCCTAGTCAGCGAGCCATGATCTCCCTAGTCAGCGAGACTTGATCTCCCTAGTCACTAAAACTTGGCCTCCCTAGTCAGTGAAACTTGGTCTCCCAATCAGTGAGACTTGGCTTCCCTAGTCACTAAAACTTGGCCTCCCTAGTCAGTGAAACTTGGTCTCCCAATCAGAGAGACTTGGCTTCCCTAGTCAGTGATATTTGATCTCCCTAGTCAGCGAGACTTCGTCTCCCTAGTCAGCGAGCCTTGCTCTCCCTAGTCAGTGAGCCTTGGTCTCCCTAGTCAGCGAGCCTTGGTCTCCCTAGTCAGTGAGACTTGGTCTCCCTAGTCAGTGAGACTTGGTCTCCCTAGTCAGTGAGACTTGGTCTCCCCAGTTAGCAAGACTTAAACACTGTAGTTGGTGATACTTTATCTTCCTATTCAGCGAGTCTTGTTCTCCTTTGTCAACATGGTTTGGTAACCCTAGTCTGAGAGCCTTAATATTCCTAGTAAGTGGGAGACCTAGCTCCCTATTCAACGAGCCTTGATATTCATAGTCAGCGTGCTTTGGTATCCCTAGTCAACCAGACTTGGTCTCCCCAGTCAGCGAGACTTTGTCAGCGAAACTTGGTCTCCATAGTCAGCGAGACTTGATCTCCATAGGCAGTCTCCCTAGTCAGCAAGACTTGATCTCCCCAGTCAGCGACGATTTGTGGAGTACACTTAAGGGACACCTAGTCCGAAGAAGATTGAAATCTTATGGAAATAGGGAACTCTACTCGCTAATAAGGCTACGAGAGCTGACAAGGGAGCTATAAGATTGAAGTATTTATACAACGAGCCTTGGTATTCGTAGCCGGCATGTTTTGGTATCCCTAGTCAACCAGACTTGGTCTCCCCAGTCAGCGAGACTTTGTCTTTTTAGTCAGCGAGACTTGGCCTCCCAAGTCAGCGAAACTTGGTCAGTCTCCCTAGTCAGCAAGACTTGATCTCTCTAGTCACGACGATGTGAGGAGTCTAGTTCGGAGAAGATTGAAATCTTATCGAAATAGGGAACTCTACTCTCTAATAAGGCTACAAAAGTAGTTGTTAAGTGAAGGCAGATCTGAAAATTAGAGTTCTTTGTTTTCGCCCTGGATAGTAAATTAGAATTATAGATTAAACCACAATTTTCGGAACCTATTCTTGCTTAAGGAGAAACTAGTTCCAGAGAAGATTGAAATCTCGCTAAAAATGATACGATAGATGACAAGGGACCTATAAGATCGTAGTGTAGGGAGACCAATGGTCGTTGTTAAGTGAAGGCGGATCTGGAAATTAGAGTTCGCCCCGGATAATAAATTAGACTCGTAGATAAAACCACGATTTTCGGAACCTAGTCTTGTACTTTAGGGTCACCTAAGTTCGAAAAAGATTTAGACGTAATAAGAATACGATAGCTGATAAGGGAGCTATAAGGTCGAAGTTTAGGGAGACCAGCGATCGTAATAGCTGAATGCTAATAATAGTTATTTGTCTTTGCCCCGGATACTAAATTAGACTCGCAGATTATACGACGATTTTGGGAGTCTAGTCATACACTTAAGGGACACATAAGTCCGGAGAAGATTGAAATCTTATGGAAATATGGAACTCTACTCGCTAATAAGGCTACGATAGCTGACAAGGGAGCTATAAAATCGATGTTTAGGGAGACCAGCGACCGTTGAAATGTGAATGCAGATCTATAAATTAGAGTTTCTTGATTTCGCCCCGGACTGTAAATTAGTCTCGCAAATTATTTGTTTTCGTCCCGGTTAGTAATTTAGACTTGCAGATTAGACCACGATTTTCGAAGTCTAGTCTTGCACTTTAGGGACACCTAGGTCAAGAGAAGATTTAATTCTTGTGAAAAAGGAAACTCTACTCGCTAATAAGGATACGATAGCTGACAAGGGAGCTATAAGATCGAAGTTTAGGGTGGCCAGCGATTGTCGATAAGTAAATGCAGATCTGTAAATTAGAGCTCCTTGATTTCGCCCCGGATAATAAATTAGACTCGTAGGTTCAAACACGATTTTCCGAGTCTAGTCTTGTACTTTGGGGACACCCAGATTCAGAGAAGATTGAAACATCATTTCAATTATAATCATGGCTACTTTCCAACCTACCTGCATAACCATCGAGGTTAAATACTTTTATTAATTTTCTAAATTAGTCTAAAAATTCCATCCATATGCTCACCTCTAATATGTCCATGTGTATGCATAACTGAATTTACCATCTGGGAAAAATAGTCGAGTAAAAAAAATATGTAACTTGTCATACCTTAAATGGATGCTGAGAGGAGGTTACATTACAAAACTCTAATGCTAATTGATACAATTCTTAGCAAAAACAACAACAACGGCATGATTTTGATCGAGTTTTGTTGGGGCGTTTTTTCCAATACTTTTTGCTCGAATTAAATTTTCGTTACTTGTTATGGCAGTTATGTGAATGTACTTTGGTTGGGTTGGTTGGTGGTCCGCTCCACCAATCATCATTGAGCGATATTGATTTTTTTGAGTGTATGTGTGTGTGAGTGTTTGAGATTTAGTTTTTAATTTTTTTCCAACGATTATGTTGAGTTTTGATTTCAAAACCCAAAATATAAAAGTATCGCAGACGTCGATGATTGATTACAGTATCGCATAACGTTTCTAAACCTAAAGACCAGGTGTTGTGCTTTTTTTAACGAAGTGTAGCAGATCCTTTGAAAATTTCCACAAAAGAAAAATCATGAAATTCTTGGTAAGCCCGAATCGTATCCCAAAAAATGGAATATCCTTTTTTATGTCAAAGGATAATTTGTGTATTGGGTTTTAGATCCTTGTATCCTTAATTGGTTGTGCGTGTGCCGCTCCTGGTGGTCTGTTTGGAGGCCATGGCATTTCGTATGGGGCTCCAGCCATTGCGGCGGCCCCTGCCATTAGTTATGCTGCTCCTGCTGTCAGTTATGCTGCTGCTGCCCCCGTGGTAGCCGCGGCCCCGGCCGTTAGTTATGCTGCTCCCGCTGTTAGCTATGCTGCCCCTGCTGTACAAGTTGCTGCCGCTCCAGCTGTTGTTAAGGCTGTGGCTCCCGCGGCCACAAGTTATTCCACATTTACCTCGGTAGGTTAAGATGCACGGGACAGAGAGGAAGGGTTCAAGATGAATTATTAATCATCTTTTCTTTAGGTTGTCAACCATCCAGCCACCATTAAGGCCGTTGCCGTTGCCGCCCCAGCCGTTAAAGTAGCTGCTGCCCCAGTTGTGGCCGCTGCTCCCGCCATCTCCTATGCTGCACCAGCCGTTAAAGTTGCCGCTGCTCCTGTTGTGGCCGCCGCCCCTGCCATTTCCTATGCCGCCCCAGCCATTAGTTATGCCGCCGCTGCACCAGCCATTTCTTTGGGCTATGGTGGTTACGGCGGTTATGGCTATGGTCATCACTAGGTTGGATTTTGAGAAGGGGAAAAAATCAAAGGATATAATAACTCGGCCAGGATATGCCATTAAGGATTTCATGAATTTAGTCAAATATTTGTTTCTCAAGTTTTTTTTTTCGTTTAATTATTTATAAGGATACATGTAAAGGACATGCGTTAGATATATAGGGTCCGTCATCACGACAAATTCGCGAGCAGAAAGAATCATAAAAAAGTATTAATTTTTCTTTAAGAGATGCGCTCTAATTTTCTTTTCTTTAATTTTCCAATTAACTGTTATTTTTTCTAATTTTTTCAAATGGCATAGAGAAAAGTTCTGCTGATAATAAAAATATCAGAATAAAAATTCAAAATAAATTATTAAAAAAAATTGGAACTTTTTTCATAAAAAAATTTTGGTTTTATTTTATTAAGTATTTTAAAAAATTACAAAAATATATATATATACAAATTTCCCACAATTGATCTAGGCATGAGGTAACAATGTAACAACTACAACAATACACACAACATTGATTACAACAAAAGACATCGCGTTCAAGACTTTGGCCACTTCGCGCCAGGGTTGCTGCTGCGAGTCAATATAGTCGTTGGACTAAAAGAAGAGGGAGAAAGAAAAAAACAAAAATAAATAAAAAATGTTTCTTGCTTGCCTGAATTACTGAATTTCGTTCGGAAACTTTATTCAGCTAGTCAAAAATGCAGATTTCCTTTCCGAAACATAATTCAGCTAAGCTGAATTGCAAATTTCCTTTCAGAAACTCAGCAGGGCAAAATTGCAGATTTTCTTTCCAAACCCCAATTCAGCTAAGCTAAATTGCAGATTTCCGTTCCGAAATCCAATTCACCTAAGCTGAATTGCAGATTTCCTTTCAAAAACCCAATTCAGCAAAGCTGAATTGCAACATTTTCTTTCAAAGACCCAATTCAGCTAGGCAACATTGCAAATTTCCTTTTCAAAATCTAATTCAGCTAAGCTGAATTGCAAATTTCCTTTCAGAAACCCAATTCAGCTGGGCAAAATGGCAGATTTTTTTCAATATCCCAATTCAGCTAAGTTAAATTACAAATTTCTTTACAGAAAACCAATTCAGATGAGTTGAATTACAAATTTCGTTACAGAAAACCAATTCAGCTGGGTAAAATAGCAGATTTTCATTGAAAACCTCAATTCAGCTAAGTTGAATTGCAAAATTTTTTTACTGAAAACCAATTCAGCTGAGCCGAATATGAAATTTCCTTTTGGAAACCCAATTCAGCTAAGCCAAATAGCACAATTTTTTTCAGAAATCCAATTCAGCTGAGCAAAAATACAGATTTCATATGAAAATCCCAATTCAGCATAGCTAAATTGCATTTTTCACATTAGAAACCCAATTCAGCGGGGTGAAATTGCAGATTTCCTGTTAGAAACCTAATTCAGCTGGGCTGAATTGCAAATTTCGCATTAGAAACCTAATTCAGCTGGGTGAAATTCAAAATTTCCTTTGAAATACCTTATTCAGCTGGGCTGAATTGCAAATTTCGCATTAGAAACCTAATTCAGCTAAGCTAAATTACAAATTTTGTAACAGAAATCAAATTTTGCTAAGCTGAATTGCAGCTTTTCTATCGGAAACCCAACTCAACTCGGCATAATTACCAATTTCTTAACAGAAACCTAATTCAGCGGGGTTATATTCCAGATTTTCACCCGGAACCGTCCCATAGCTAACCGTCAATTCAGTACAGCTGAATTAGGTTTCCCATAGTTAAACTTCATTTTAGCCCAGTTGAATTAGGTTTCCCATAGTTAAAATTTAATTCAGCCCAGCTGAATTAGGTTTCCCATAGGTAACCATCAATTCAGCCCAACTGGATTAGGTTTCCCATTGATAACCGTTAATGTCCCCATATGTATCCCTTTATTCAGCCCCGCTGAATTAAAGTTCTCCCAGCCGCTTTTACTTACATCAGCCAACCGCATACACAGCACCAGACGTAAGGGTGAGCAGTTCACAGCCGCGGTCAACCAATCATAAGGCTTCGCCTTGGGCGGATACAATTCCAGCCACATAAGACAAATGTGAAGGATATAGCAGAATGTAGCCACTCTCATGATGTGCTGATATGCCAACACTAAAATAAAAATAGTTAATAACAATTTGTACAGTACCCAAAACCCATCTACTGTACGTACTTATTGGCGGCACATAAAATGTTGGAGCATGTTTGGTCAGGAACATCAAACCCAACATTAAAACGACCATTACAACCAAAATAAGGGCGCCTCGACGATAGCCTCGCAACAGGAAGGACAAGATGATGAGGATTTGGGAAGCTGAAAAAATTTTGAAATTTATTTCAAAACCAAATAAATATTAAAATTATTTTTTTCTTACCCAAAATCGGCATCGAAAAAACATTCCTATAGAATCCTGAGTTACGGACAATGAAAAATTCAATGGCAATATCTCCATCCATAGCCTGAAGAATCTGTTTATCCGTATAGCGCATATTAGCCCCACTGGCCACGGAGGTGACATGGATACCCCGCAATGTCCATTCGGATAGCGAATCAATGGGTGGATGTTTCCATGTGTCATTGTAATTTAAAGTCAGTCGCTGCAAAGGACCCTGATCCAAACCCACCACAATATCACAGGACAATTCTTCGTTTGGCCAATCCTCAAAGGGGTTCGGACACCAGGTGGTAATGAAGACATTGTAAAATTCAATTCCAATTTCGCCATTGTGGCGTATTTTTATTTTATGATCCTCATCAAGTAGGGATTTGGAATTTGAAACACCACTAGATTAAAGGGAGGGGTATTAGAAATGTCGTAATTATGATGCCCTGCAATCAGCAACTTACTTGATAACCATTAAGTGGGGCAGCCAGATATCATAATCGGAATGCTGTATGACATCGATGTCGCCAAAGGCTTTCGGATCCCAGGTTATGCGGGAATCTACCCAATTCTGCAAAAAAGTAATAAAAATAAAATAAAGTTTTCCCAAAGGAAACCTAATTCAGCTGGGCTGAATTGAAGATTTCCTATAGAAACCTTAATTCAGCTGGGCTGAATTGAAGATTTCCTATAGAAACCTTAATTCAGCTGGGCTGAATTGAAGATTTCCTATAGAAACCTTAATTCAGCTGGGCTGAATTGAAGATTTCCTATAGAAACCTTAATTCAGCTGGGCTGAATTGAAGATTTCCTATAGAAACCTTAATTCAGCTGGGCTGAATTGAAGATTTCCTATAGAAACCTTAATTCAGCTGGGCTGAATTGAAGATTTCCTATAGAAACTTTAATTCAGCTGGGCTGAATTGAAGATTTCCTATAGAAACCTTAATTCAGCTGGGCTGAATTGAAGATTTCCTATAGAAACCTTAATTCAGCTGGGCTGAATTGAAGATTTCCTATAGAAACCTTAATTCAGCTGGGCTGAATTGAAGATTTCCTATAGAAACCTTAATTCAGCTGGGCTGAATTGAAGATTTCCTATAGAAACCTTAATTCAGCTGGGCTGAATTGAAGATTTCCTGTAGAAACCTTAATTCAGCTGGGCTGAATTGAAGATTTCCTATAGAAACCTTAATTCAGCTGAGCTGAATTGAAGATTTCCTATAGAAACCTTAATTCAGCTGAGCTGAATTGAAGATTTCCTATAGAAACCTTAATTCAGCTGGGCTGAATTGCAGAATATTTAAAGCAAACCTTCAATATTTTTTTATTTTTCCCCTCCCCTTTAATATCTTCTCATAAAATTCAAATACTCACCATTCTCAAATTAAGTCTGGTCTGCAGCATGCCACGATCATGCTGATAACTCACTGAGGCGACAACAAAATCAAATTCCACACTCGTCAAATCGACCGGATATGAGCCATTCTCAGCCATGGCGGTAATATTTGCCACCAACAACTGATGTGGCGTCAGCTCGCGTACCTCCTCCTCCAGCTCATTGGCGAAGCCATCGAACTGGCAATCATAAAACCAACTGGCCGGAATATTATCATAGGTCGTAAAACTAATGTATTGAATGTCCAGTGGGGAGGTATCGGTAAAATTCAACAATGGCTCCTCTTTGAATCCTGTGATGTAGACCAGCAATTCAGCAGCTGAAACAAAAACAATAATTTAGTTTTTGGTCTCCTTTTGTTGTTGTCGTTTTTTATCAGCATCATAAGCCGGCGAGGCCATACCCTTTGTTTGTATTATTTCAATGGGTGTGGGATCGAGCATTGATAAAATATACGGATCCTGATTAGTGGCGACACGGCCACGTCCCATGGTGATACGTATCGTTGAGAATGTGTTGCGACCAGCACCAATGACTAAAACAAAATGACACATAATTTAATATTCCTCTTCATAATCTTTCCACCTCATCCGCCTCCTTACCAACTTCGTAGACCTTGTCCTTGGAGCGCGGTTGATCCGTGCTCGATAATAAAATGTGGGCATCCCGTGCTGTCATCACATAAAATTTCAAATGCAACAACTCATTATCGGCTAGTTTGTTATTCTTTAAATGGGTCAAATGGAAAAAATCCGCATAATTATAGCCTCGATTCATTGGAATCGTATAGTGACGACATGTATCCATCTGGGCCAGACTGACATTGTATTTAAAATCGGCTTTGGTCGGGCGCAGCACAATCATCAATGTAACCACAAGTATGATACATTTAGATAAACCCATATTCCACCATTGAAAATTCCACATCGAATGAAAATAAAATACCGAATTAAAATATTCCGAACAAATTTATTTCCGAACTGCTCCCGACGGCTTTAAATTGCAGACTGAAACAAATATTATATTTTATTAAACAAAACAATTCAACTTGCATATGAATAAATAAATATCTTATATGGGAATATAAATAAATATGAAACACACATACACACTCCCACCCTCATACACATCGAACAAAAATGTCCAGAGAGGAGGGACAAACGATGTGATGTTTTTTTCTTTATCGTAAAACCGCAACCAATTGTAGAGATCTCTTGGAGAAACAATAGAAAGGGTTGGAATGATAACAGAAGAAATTTGCCGGTATATCGGTGACAGTTACTTCAGAAGTCATAAAGTCGGTCATACAAAGACCATGTGATACCCTACACAGCCATCACTGGACTTTACCCACACACAAAAAGGCTAGGCCAATTTGAACCGCTAAATGAGGACCTGTCATCATCATGTATATTCTGAGACCAACATTTCGTGGTGATCGGGTCATAAGTTTGACCTCTAGAGCACCCAAAAAATAATAAATAAAAATGTAGGTATCTTTTTTTACTATAACCGAATCTACACGCTAAATTTCGGGACGATTGGTCCACAATCGCAGCCTGTACTTTGTGTCGCTGAATAACACCTCTTATTGGAACAGCCCGTTAAATTTTTTATGTAAAAAACTCATTTGAAATTACATTCAAATTACCTACAATAACTCAATGGCCATATTGATAATGTAACGCCTAAAAGTATGCAACAAAATTTGGCATCTACTCTCTAGTATTATGATGGAGTGCTTTGCTTAGTGCAGTGTTGCCATTTCAAATAGCAATTATGATTTGAATTCGACCAAAGAAACCAAATTAAGATACCAAATGATCATGACCATAGGCAACGTTTACATATGTAACATGTTTTAATAAAACTTGTAATTTATAGTATTCTACTAATTGAATAAATCTTTAATAAACCTCTATTAAAAATTAATACAAAATAATTTGTATAAAAATAAAATTATTTAAAATTGTTAACTATTTCAATATTTAAAATTCTCGATAAGATTCTCATTGAAATATATGTCCCTTCTAATAGTACGTTTACATTGTAACCGGATTTCATTAACCCAGTCGATTTTAATTGTCAATTCCATTGCATATATGTTAAATCAATACTCACAAAGTAGGTTAACCCGGTAAAAATAGTGCCTCTGAGGGATATTATTTCTATCCCATAATTTGTGCATTTATAGTAATTGATAATTTCTGGCCTTGTAAAATACATCGGCATAGCTCCCACATAACTTAGGGTTGAATTAACGATATTTTGAGGATTTTGGATTTAACTTTTACCCGAATTGCAAATTGTATCAATGCCTATAAGACCTATGATTATATTCCCGCCAGTTGGTTTTATGATTGTCAGTTCAATGGCTTTGCCAAAAAAAAAACTGGAGGAGTAGACACGTAAACTGACGCCACATCAGTCCTTGATGGCAATTATCAACGTTATGGCTGAGATCAATTTTCGGAATCTTCAATTTAGCTCTACTGAATTAGATTTGTTCTAGGAACAATTGAGAATACTTGAAGTATCTTTTCGACCAGAAATCATCCATTTAGCTCATATAAATTAGGATTTTGATAGGAAAGCTCAGAAAAAGTATGTCTCTTTTGAAAAATATACAAATCAACCCAGCTAAATGAGGTTAACATTAGAAAATCGCCAATTCAGCCTCACTGAGTGTGGTTTCCATGAGGAAATTTTCAATTCAGCCTCGTTGAATGAGGTTCAGTTGAGAAACCTTCATCTCAGCCTCGTTCAATGTGATTTCCTTAAGGAAATCTTCAATTCAGCCTCGCTGGATGAGGTTTCCATAGGAAGATTTTCCATCCGACCTAACTGGATGAGGTTTCTATCGGAAAATCTCGAACTCAGCTAAGCTGAATGAAGTTTCTTTTGGTGCATATTCAATTCAGCCTAACTGAAATAGGTTTTCGTTGAGATACCTTCAATTCAGTGTAGCTAAATGAGGCTTCCATCGGGAAATCTTCAATTCAGCGTCGAGGATTGAAGTTTCCATTTGGGATTTCCATTGGGAAATCTTCAATTCAGCTTAGCTGAATAAGGCTTCTTTTGGGAAATCTTCAATTCATCCTAGCTCAATGAGGTTTATTTTAGGAAATCTTCAATAAAGTCTAACTGAATGAGGTTTTTTTCGTTAAGGTGTTTTCAATTCAGTCTATTTGAATGAGGTTTATATTTGAAAATCTTCAATTTAGCACAGCTGAATTAGTTTTTCGTTAATAAATCTCCAATTCGTCTTAACTGGATGAAGTTTCTATCCGAGAATCTTAAATTCAGTCTCGCTGAATGACGTTTCCATTAGGAAATATTCCATTCATCCTATCTAGATGAGTTTTCTATTTGAAAATCTGTAATTCAGCCTAGCTGAATGTGGTTTACAAAGGGATTTTTTTTGTTTTCATAGGTAATTTTTTTTCCATCGGAAAAAATCTTCAATTCAGCCTAGCTGAAAGACGTTTTCGTTAGAAAATTTTCAGTTCAGTTCAATTAGTTTTCTTCCAGACAAATCTTCAAATAAGCCTTGCTGATTTCGGGTTCCTTTAGAAATGCTTCAAGACAGCCCAGCTGAATTAGGTTTCCCATGTCAAATCTGAAAGTTTGTCCAGCTGAATTAGGTTTCCGCTAAGAAATCGTGGAGTATAGCCCCCCGTTAGAATTACCAAGTGGCAGTAATTTAGTATTCCGGAACGTTGGTGGGTATACAATAAGTCTCTACCCGTACTGCAAGAATCTACTATTTTTTATATTACGATAATTTTTTTCTTTATAATATCGAAAAAGTTGTCAAAATTAATAGGTTATGGTCATCATTAAGTCTGCTTTTCCACAGGCAGATTTTTATTTGGCAATTTTTTTGTTTTCTCTTTTGAAATTTTCGCTTGCTCTTCCATTAGCAAATTTTTCTTTGCCAAATTTGCGAATCAAAATACAAAATAAAGAAAATAAAAGTCAAAAGTGTTTGTATTTTAAAGATTTTTTTTTAAATTTTATTTATTTTTTATATATTTTATTATATAAATTGCAAAAATTAAAAATTAAATTTCACTTGCACAAATTAAAGCAACAGGTTTCTAAACAAAAGCCGGCTGTGTGTCAGTAAAGCGAATAGGTTCAAAAGGAAATGTCAACAAAATAGCTTTCAACGAACAGAGCAAAGCAGAATTTGCGTGTACGGCAAATTCTGAACAGGCAAATTTTTGTTTTTCTTCCTCGCATCCCTCTCGCCTACAAACTCAGTATTTGCCAAATAAAAATTTGCCTGTGGAAAAGCAGACTAACGGAATGTTCGATGTCAAATAGCATATTAATAAGGTCATCCAGGGAGACCAGCTGCATACCACCTGCTTCTCATGTTAGCTGTCAAAATCCATTATTGTACATTGACTTCCATTATGAAGATGTAAACAATATCCAAATTTTTCACATTATAGTAGAAACAATTATTACGTAACCATAAAGCCATAAGGCCATATCAATCAGCTGATCGATGGTTATCTCATTACTATTTCTACCTTTAGGCTTAAAAAAACAGCTGACTTTCGTTTGATTTGACCTTATTAATAGATCTTGACATCGCAGCTGAAGAACATCAACTGCCTATACAAAAAGGAGTAGTTATGGCTCAACTCCGACTGTGCACGGACTCATATCGTGCACGGATTGACAATTGATCTGCCAAGCATGTGGTACAGACCCATATACAGCGCTGCATTTAAGTAATTGCTTTGCCAAGTCTACTCAACCAGCTCTGGTTTAGCTATAAACGACAATTTATTACAGATGTTTGTATATCTTAAATCAGTTGAAGGTCCCCGAGGACACAATAGTTATTACAAATAAAAATAATGCTCTACATATGGTTTTCCACAGACAGAAGCTATTGTTAAGGTTACATATAAAATGTACTTTTTAGACAGAAGGACTATATGTTTTTATATAGAAAATAAACCTTCAATATATTTTTTTTAATCTGTTATTTTCATAATAATCGAGGTCAATTTAAATGTATTTGCTATTATTTTTAATTTTATCCATTTATTTTCTTTGTTATCAATTACATTTTTAATATTTTTAATTGTTTTATATGTTAATATAATATGTATAAACAAATAAATCATTTAAATTTCATTGTATTTAGTTAAATTTATAATTTAACGGCTTTACTACATTTCACATGGTTACTCAGTACTCTTTAATGCCTTTGCACAAAACGCATCTACAAACCCCTACATACCAACGCCGTCAACAACTCTCAACATTTGTTTACAGTACACAATTGCACCTAGTAAACCCTACAAACATTAATCAGCTGCTTGATTTCTTCAGTTATTGAACGTGCGTGCTCGTGGCTGATTGGGTTATTGATTAACGGCGCTCTCTTCGGACGGTGTCTGTTGTTTTTGTGTTTTTAGCGCGAGTTGTGTGTTATTATTTTCGTGGGTTATTACACTTTTGTTGTTGTGGAATTATTACAAAGTTGCTAATGAAACAAAAGGTGTAAATAAATCCCCACGTTCCAGAATTCAAAACATCATCATTGCAAGCAAGTCATTGACAAGATTAGTTGTGTTTGATTGTGTGTCGTAGCGGCTTATCATTACATAGAGACACAAACACCCACCCACCACTCACTCGCCTTATCAAAATAATTAACCGTTAGAAAAGGTGAGTTTTTAATCAATTTTCCCATTACAACCTGTTTGATTGTGAATTAAACTGACCCTCTGCCATTGAAGGGAATCTGGAATGTGGGTTAAAACATAAGGGGTAAAGAAGACCATCGATAAATGAAAGAAAAGAAGACAAACGTTTTTTGGATCTTCATTAGTAAAGAA